TTTTTTTTAGTCCTTTTGAGGAGTGGATGGTGGTTTTGAAACGCCAGCCTTCTGGTTAGCAGTCAAGTGTCTTAGGCACCATGCCACCAGAAAGGATCAAAATGTCATAGGTGACCAACCTTTGTAGCAATGGTAACAGCCATATCCAAGCACATGCTTCATGCCAGGAGTACTCCAAGTCATTCTTACTCCCTGGTAGATGTTAGGATCCCATTTTACAGATGAGATACTAATGCTTCGGGAGACTAAGTGACTTAAACATATTGCTGATGTCACAGAGCCAGAATCTGTCCCAGATCTTGTCTTTGAAGCCCATGAAATGATGTGGAGTTCCTATGTACCCTCTAGGAGTCATTGGATAGTGCAACTGGTTAACAAGCTCAGCTGCTAACTGAAAGGTTGGAGGTTCAAATTCACTTAGCAGTGCTTCAGAAGAAAGGCCTGGTGATCTTCTGAAAATTCAGCCCTCAGAAACCCATGGAGAACAATTCTATTTTGACACATGTGAGGTGGCTATGGATTGGAGTCGACTTGATGGCAACCAATTTCTCTGCCTGGTAAGTTGCAATTCCAAGAGAAAATCTCTTCTTCCAGGCAACACCATACTATTCTGAATAATGGCTGCTATCAAACTAAATGCAGAGCACTGCAGGGTAATTAATTTGAAGATAACAAGTTCATTTGTGTGTTGAAGTTCAAGTGTGTGTGTGTGTGTGTACATATATACACGTGTGTTTATATTTTTAATCCCTCATTAATTTCAGGCACTCCCCATAAGCACTCTCCCTAGTTAGCCCACAGGCCCTCTCACTGACATCAATCAGTTCATGACAGAGGGACAAACAGGAAGGAGCAAGGAACGTACTAGACAGACAAGGCAGATATTATAGCATCTAAGAGGATAGTAGATAGGAAAGAGGAGAGGCTGAAGGGGCAAGTCCTGATAAATATTTTTCAAAAGGAAAGAATGTATTATTGGCAAGGCCACTGCTCAGGAAAAACAAAACAAAAAACCTGAAATGGGTTTTTTGCTATGTTGTTGTTGTTGGGTGCTATTGAGTCAACTCGACTCAGCGACCCTATGCACAGAACGAAACACTGCCCAGTCCTGTGCCAGCCTCACACTCCTCACTATACCTGAGCCCATCGTTGCAGCCACCGTGTCAATCCATCTCATTGAGGGCCTTCCCCTACTTCGTTGACCCTCCACTTTATCAAACATGATATCCTTCTCCAGGGAATGGTTCCTTCTAATTTTTGCTATAGAGAGCACATATTATGACCATGAACTGAAACTACCCTGTCAAGTCACCTTTTAGCTAAATGAATTAAAAAAAAAAAAAAAAAAAAACCAACTCACTGCCACTGAGTCAATCCCAACTCATAGTGAACCCATTGGGTTTCCAAGTCTATTAATCTTCACAGAAGTAGATTGCCCTATCTTCCGTCAATGGAGCAGCTGGTGGGTTTAAACCACTGACCTTCTGGTTAAAAGCCAAATGCCTTATTCACTACACCACCAGAACTCCTTTTTAGCTAAATAGATTATCTCATAAAGTAATGAATGTCACCCTTGAGTACATTCTTTCAAAAATCATCTATATTATGGTCAACAAATACTCTAAAGCACAGATGAGAAGGTTGGGGGACCGTGAGACTAGGTGAATAGGAGAACTAGAGGAGAAATAACGAGAATGCCGGCACAACATTAAGAACGGAACCAGTGTCACAGGACAATCTGTGTACAAATTGTCAAGTGGGACCCTGTTTTGCTGTGTAGTTTCACTGAAAATACAATGAAATATTATTTTTTTTAAAGTATGTATTATGAAAGTGGCTTCAATATTCAGCTATCCTGATTCTCTCATCCTATAAGACAAGCTAGCTCAACAACTGCAAATGGCAGTCCATGGTGTGTTTTGGTTACTTTCCAAGTCAACAAAATCTAAACTAAAGCCTGCTGAGAAGAGTTTAATTGATTATTAATTATCATGGTATTATTAGGTTGGGCAATCTACTTGCATAGTGATACTGCCTCGGCAAACCAAGGAGGGGTCGCTATGAGTCAGGGCCGACTCGACAGCATATAACAACAACAACGTTAGTAGCAGCAGCAAAAAAAAAAAAAAAAAGCAATTCCAGTCTCAGATCTCTTACTGACCAACTGTTACATCCTGGGCTCTTGCCTGTTTTTCCTTCCTCCTCTCTAAAATAAAGGGTTTGGACTAAATGATTCCTTATAAGTTTGCAGATTTCCTGACTCTATTCCCTACCAGGAAAATAATGCCAAATACGTTTTCTTTTGCACCATGCTTTTAGGTCCCTGGAGACAAGGCACAATGAATGTGGGAAGCTAGCATCTTTTTTTTTTTTTTTAAACTTTTGACAAACATGTTAGAAAGAATGGATATTTATAAAAAGTATACAAATTTAGACAGTGAGATCAGAGTGAATGTAAACAGAAGAGACAAAGAAAAGGATGCTAATGACTATTATGGAGATGATGAGACTACCCTGTCCTCCTGGGGGCGAGTGTCCCCTGAAAAGAGCAATGACTTGGCTTGGAAGTCCAAAGGCTGAGGCTGAGGCAACTGCTGTAGGTTCGGGAACAAGCTGCCTCCCTTCGTGCCCCCAAGGATGTGGGCTACATTCAGTAATATTCATCTAATACGCTCCACATCCATTCCTAAAGCCACAGGAAGGTACCTCTCTCCCTAGCGCTTAACTCATGTAAATCACAGAATGACACAGCAGACACTCCAATAAATGTGTCACGCACCCACTTTCGCACCCACTTGATGAGGAGTTCAACAAGGCAAATTTCACCAGAGTTTCTGGTAGTCATGACTCAAAGATGCAAGGAACAGGATATGAGAACGTGCCTACATTGTGATAGGCACGTTTGGTTTTGCTTTCTACCTATGACTCTGATTGTAATGTTCTCTGGCCCATCCTTTTGCCTGCTGCCTGAGTCCCTAGTCAAAATCTTTCTATCACGTTGTTGTTGTCATTGTTGTTGTTGTTTTGTGCCGTCGAGTCAGACCCGACTCATAGTCGACCCCCTCCTTGGGTTTCCGAGGCAGTATCACTACGGAAGTAGATTGCCCAACCTTTCTTCTGAGGAGTGGCTGGTGGGTTTGAACCGCCAGCCTTCTGGTTAGCAGTCAAGTGCCTTAGGCACTATGCTACTAGAGCTCCTATAATAGTAATAGGAAATAAATATTGCTCATAACGTACTGCCATGCTATTGAGAGGCAAGCAGATTTAACTCAATGCAAACTTGAAGCAACTTTGAAAGACTTCCGTATAAACTGCAGTGGAAGGCTGAGGGAAAACTGGCCAGTTCAAGCCAGCTTTCCCAGTAACACAGAGAACTTGACATCCAAGTGTCAAACAACATTCATTACCATCAACCTTTATAAACTAATTTATGGCCATGATTTGCTTCACTGCCTAGGAGTTAAAGGTGAATTAAATGCAGGAAAATTCATTATTTGTCCATCATCATTTTCTCCTCTATAGATACAAGGTTAACTCCACAAACACCCTCACAACTACATAATGCCAAATCCTACTGTGACTATGCTGACAGTTGGCCATATTAAACTAAAAACAAAACAGTGATTGGATCTCATGTGTAAATGAAGTAAATTATGCAATTCTACAGAAAATCTCAAGTTTGTTGGAGAAGATGAGGTTCTCAGTATCAAGGACCCTACTCTGCCCTATAATACAGAGCCACTGTCAATGGCAATTTAGATTCTCAAGTTCAGATTATACTAGCTCATAAAGACAGCTTCCTTTTCTATCAAACAATGACGTTAGTTCTGCTGCTTAAATGAGTCCCCCTTGGTCTACAACATCAACTCCTTATTCATTTACAAACGGTCCTTTCAAGACATAGTTCCATGAGTCACATTCAGCCCCTTCATCTGTGAATGCTTCACCTGCATCTTGCGATCTAGTCACACTGGATGCTCTGAGTACACCTTACATGTGAAGAAGTCTGTCTTGTCTGCATGTATGTTCTTGTCACCATTACCCCCCAATCACTATGTCCACAGGGTCATTCTTATTAATTCTTCAAAACCCAGCTCAAAAGACCTCAGAGAAATGTCCCTAAAACACCGAATAAGAGTGGATCCCTCCCACAAGAGCTTGGACAGACCTTCATTATAACATTTATCACCCTGTGCTGTGAGAATTTATTTACATGTCAGATCTCACAGACAGAATATACGTTCCAAAGACAAAGTCCCTGAAGACAAAAACCTTATCTATTGTATCCATCTTCATAATCTTGGCATTTAGCACATGGCCTGGCACATACTTGATTAAGGTTGAATTAAAGAAGGAATCAGAATTCTAAAGGTATTTCAAAACCCTAGACATGTGTTGCCACTCTTACCTATTCAGTGCAAATGCATAGTGGAACTTGATATTATGCTGATCGGTCAAGTCACACGTAGGCAACTTTTCTAGTGTCTCTACCACCTTCACCATCGCATCATAGTCCTGTTGGCAAGAGGAGAAAGAGAGGAAACATAGCCCTTTATGGAATTTCTGTACAGTTATAAACATGAGATGGACAGGCCTTTCCTTACAGGGGGCATTTAGTGAAGTTACCTGTAGCCCTTAATAGTACAAAAGATCACAAAACAGTAAGAGGATGAGAGCTTTGAAAAAGAGCAGAGAAGGAATCTTTGCTATCAAAAGCCACACAGGGATCCAGGGAAAAGGGTTAAAGCTCAAGGCAACAAGAAAGCAAAGGAGGCCAGCGTACAGGAAAAGGCCACCTAGTTTCCAGTGCAGGGGATTTAACACCACCAGCAGAGTTCTGAGAATGAGCCGGACATAAATGCCCAAGAAAACTTAAAGGGGAACAATCCTAGTCCTTCCTGTCAACAACTGAATTCATCTAAATCAAGATTTCTCAGCCTTGGTTCTACTGACATCTGGATTGGATCATTCTTAGTTCTGAGGGGCTGTCCTGTTCACTACAGGATGTTTAACAGCATCCCTGACCTTGACCCACTACAGGCCAGTAGCATGCTCCTCCCACTGTAGTCATGACTACCAAAAATGTCTCTGGAAATTGCCAAATATCCTAAAAGGGGCAAAACTAGCCTTGGTTGAGAACCTCTGCCCTAAACGCTGTATAAATTACCCAGGGAACAATTGTTATTATGTTTGTCTCAGCTGAGTCCTCTGCTAGCAGCCCCATCTGCTACCTGCCCTTTCAACCACGCTTAGAATCATGGGTACTGGCCAACTTGCCAACAGCCAGCCACAGTTGGCCAGGGGTGAGGGTGGGTCCATCCCACCAAAATCCTACACCTATCTCACGGCTCTGCACCTTGATGCTAGTGGCCTAGGAAAGAGGAGACAGATTCTTCTAGGAATTTCCTGGCTCACCTAGAACCTGAGTGTCCCATGGATAGAAGGCAATGAAAAGAAGAGATGTGTGGAAGCAAGGAAGGAAGCCAACAACAGGGAGCAAAGACATCAAGCAAAGCTATTCCTATTCTCTTGTCTCTTGGGGGATGAGTGAATCATTGTCACAATCCCTAGTTCAATCTATTAAAATCAGTTGAGTGGCTTTGTTTATCACTTGAAGTTCAAATTTCTCAGTGCTCAACTCTGTTCTCGATTTACCCCACTTCCCTGAGATCTAGAAAACACCAAGTTATAAATGGGTGTCTTCCTTATTTAAAGACCTGTGGCCACCAACTTTGCAGAATTCTGCAGGTAGGGGACAGTACTTGTGTTCCTCCAAAAACAAGGTAAACCAGACACCCTCAGAAGTGCTCAGTGGCACTGAACTTGCAGGGAGGAAATGCTCCATTTCCTTCATGGAACCATATCCTACAAGCCCTGTTTCTCAAGAGCTCTCCAGAAGCCTCTGAAGCTTGCCTCGGAATAAACATCTGTGTTTCCCTGGGTCTTAGAGTCACCTCTGCTGCCTCTCGCCCTCCTCATCATCAATAGGTGGTGGTTGTTGTTGGTAGTTAAAAAAAAAAAAATATGAGACAAAAGTCCAAAGAAAGTGGCACAGCAGAAGTGTTCAGAGTGAAGATTACAGAGCCAGTTGGCCTCACTTTAAATCCTGACTTCATCAATTGCTTTGTGACCTTGGGCAAGATACCTAACTTCCTATGCCTCGGTGTCCTCATCGGTAAATGGGGATAAATTAGAGAATATACCCTATAGGGTTAAGAGGATAAGATGGATGAGTATTTGCGAAGGGCTTTGAATGACAGCATAATGTGCATATTCAGAGCTAAAGTATATGGACAACATGTATATACACAGTTAGAGTCGAAGTTCCTTATTCTGAGTGGATGTGTCTACGTGGTCTCCCTGCAGTGGCCTTCTGAATGAGCACCATTCCAGATCTGGCCACCCCCTTCCAATGTTTCCACAACAGATTCGCTGGGTGACCTGTGACCCAGTCATACATCAATTTGCTATAAAGCAGCTACCTCACCATACAAAGGAGTGTTTTATAGGAGGGAGGGGGTCCTCAGGCTGAGGCAGGAACTCAGCATGCTTGAGAAGCAACTAAGTGTAGTTCATACCTGGATATCGCGGTAGGACAGCAGTAAATTAATGACGATGTCCGAAGTCAGAACCTCTGCGTTGTCCATGCGGAGTCTGATCCGAGCCAGCTCCTTTGCCAGTTCATCACCCTGGTATTTCTCTCTGGCTTTCCGGATGTCATTCAACAAGGTTTCTTTGTAGTAAGTGCTGGAGAGGGAGACACAGAGACCTCCTGTCACACTGACATGCACTCATACCTGTTTCCCTCAGTAGAACAAACAAAAGTGGTTCTCATTGACCTGAGTTGAGCTAACACATGGGGGCCGTGGCCCAGTCCTGAACCTCCCTGTGCTAGTAAATGGGAGACACGTACTACTTGTTATTCATATTTTACGGAAACTAAGGAGGCCTGGTGGCACAGACAGTGAAGCACTCGGCTGCTAAACAAAAAGTTCGCAGTTCAAACCCACCTAGTGGAACCTCAGGGACAAAGACCTAGTGATCTGCTCCCATAAAGATGACAGCCAAGATGTGGGGCAGTTCTACCATCGTAGGGGGTGACTATGAGGAAAATTCAACTCAATGGCACCCAACAACCACCACCAATAAACAGAGCCTCTGAGTGGTGCCAGTGTTTATGTGGAAGCCCTGAGTCAGTGTCAACTCGACAGTAACTACTAACCAGTTAAGAGGTTTTTTTTGTTTTTTTTTTTTTTTAAATCCAGTTCATTATAACCTTGATCATATTGTGAATGTCAGTCCAATCTGCATTCAGAAGATGCATGGCATTTGCAATCCAACCCGCTCCCTCTGGTGTCCTGAAACACAGAGGGCTGTCAGGAACCTTGCTTATATATTTCCTCCACTAATAACAAACAGTGTCACAGACCCAAACAGGACCCCAAAAGGCACAAAACCGCAAAATGAGGACTTCTTTAAAAGTTCATTTCTCTATCACCATGGTCCTAATCTTGAACTTTGCCCACTTCACTGAGAGCAGGAAACTAGTGTGACGGCCTCAAGCAACAAGATACATGAAGGCCAGGCAGCTTCTGGACAGCCTCATCTCCGGGCTCCTCAGCTGCCTCATCATCTTGGACAGTCCAGGTGGTTTTGCAACGTACAATGTAAAACTGCCTTCGTGTAGCTTGCTAGGTGGGTGTGAACCACCAACATTTAAGTTGGGAGTCAAGTCAAACCATTTGTGCCACCCAGGGACCTTAGATAATAACGGGGATGTTTAAGAACATTTAAAGCAGCTTAAACCCTATCAGGTCATGGAATCATGCATGTAGAAACTGTTGGTGAACATTTTGTTGCACGTTTGTGCAATAATTAAAAAAAAACATACACACTCAAAAACTCATATTTTAATATTTCAACATACCCTCTTAAAGAAACAATGCTAGTATCTAGTATTTGGTTTAAAACCATTAAAAATGGCCTACTTTGGTATACAGAGGCAGACTTACAATGACTACAAGTTGATCTAAATATCTTTCTGTTGTTGTTGTTACTTGCCGTCAAGTCAGACTTGATGCATAGCGACCCCTCCTTGGGTTTCCAAGGCAGTATCACTATGGAAATAGATTGCCCAACCTTCCTTCCAAGGATTGGCTGGTGGGGTTGAACTGCCAGTCTTCTGGTTAGCAGTCAAGTGCCATAGGCACTATGCTACCAGAGCTCCCAATATCATGTCTACTTATCAAGTAAATTTTTTATGGATACTGTGCATTGCCAAGCATTGTCAATCCATTAAGTAGCTCAAATCTGTCCAGCTGTCCAAAACCTACTGCTTCAATTCTGGCTTATAGTGACCCGATAGGACAGAGTAGAACCGTACCCCACCCCCCAAGTGTTTCCAAGGCTGTAATCTTTACAGAAGCAGACAGCCGCATCTTTTTCCCATGGAGCAGCTAGTGGGTTCAAATCGCCAACCTTGTTTTTGGTTAGCTGCCAGGTGCTTTAACCACTGTGCCACCGTGGCACCTCATCTAAACTGTGCTACCCAAAACACACTGCTGCAGATTCCAACTTAGAGCGACCCTATAGGGACAGAGTAGAACCACCTCATAGGGTTTCCCATGCTGTCATCTTTGGCCATGTTGTCAGAAGGGACCATTCCCTGGAGAAGGATATCATGCTTGGTAGAGGGTCAGCAAAAAAGGGGAAGACCCTCCATAAGATGGACTGTCACTGTGCATGCAAAGATGGACTCAAGGATAGCAAGGTCTGTGAGGCTGGCACAGGACCAGGGCGTGTTTCGTTCTGTTGTGCCTGGGGTGGCTGTAAGTCAGAGCTGACTCAACAGCACCTAAGAACCACAAAGTTACAAATGCAGACGGCCACATCTCTGTCCCACGGAATGGCTAGTGGGTTCAAACACAGACTTGGTTAGCAGCTGCACGTGCTAAACCCTTAACTGTAGGGAGCAAAATTAGGCTGTTCAGTAAAGAGGATAAACGACATGAAATTAGAGTATCCAGAGAAAGACAACAGCAAATGATAATGAATAAGAACAGATCAAATAAACCTGCAAGCCTTACCAGCCTGGTTAAGCTGCAGAAGCTGACCTCACTTAACACGTATAGGATGAGACACTCCACAGGAAGGGTTCTGATTTAACAATATCAGTGTATTGCTTTCATTGTTTATTTTTTGGCCAACTGCTTATTAACCCAACGATGAGTTAATGAGCAGATCCTGCCAATGTTTAAAGTTATGACATTAATCTAATAAGTCATTAAGTTGGGTGACAGCCATTGTATTTAGTGGACAATAAAGGCATCAAACCTATTCAAGAGTTATTAGTTTAGCCTGAGAAGTAAAAAAAGTTTTACATTAGTTTAGCCTTATTTTCATGAGTAATTCTGAAGAATAGTTTTAATAAACTAGGAACCACTAATAAGAGCAGTAACTTTTAAGTAAATAAACGCAACACTAAAATGAGCATGGCTTGAAGACATCAGCTCTGTAATAAACATGTGGCCACCGCTCCCCTCCACTAAGCAAGGAAGATGTTAACTCATCAATGTGAACTTGGGAATGGCTTCAAAATCTTTTCAGCCACCCAGGGCTCCAGGCGGCCTTCACCAACCTGTCAGAGTTGGCATTTGAGCTGAAGATCTATAGACCATGCCTATTAAAAAAAAAAAAAAAAAAAAAAAAAACCTTACTGACAACCATCAAGTCAGTTGAGTAGAATAGCAACCTTAAGTAGGGTTTCAAATGTCTGTGACCTTTTGGAAGTAGATCACCAAACCCTTCTTCCAAGGCACCTCTCAAAGTTAGAAGCCAAGTGCTTAACGTTTGTGTCCTCCAGGGACCCCATTCTGTATACTCAACCAAAAACTAAACCAGTTGCTGTCAAGTTGATTGTGAGTCATGATGACTCCACATTGCTAAGTACAATTGTTCCACAGGGTTTTCACGGCTGTGACCCTGTGGAAGATCACCAGGACTTACTTTAGAGGAGCCTCAGGGTGGGTTCAAACCACAACAGCCTTATGCCACCCAGGGCCTCCCCATCCCTCTTAGGGACATGTTTTAAACCATAAGCACCATCTACCCTGTCACATTATCAGACATCTGCCAGTTTACAGGGTGGGGATAAACCAACAGATCATTCAAGTCATGTCAAATTAAACCAAACTCAAAGGTAGTGTTCCTACCAACACAACCATACACTGAATAAGATACAAACAATAGTCCATTTCTCGTAAAGACCTGTCTGGCAGGTTCAAGCTAGCCTACCTCCATGTCAGACCTGAAAATACAGTACTGTGAGAGCCTTCTCTCTAAACTTCACTAAAATGTCAGTTCTGCAATCAGACGATAGTTAGGCAAGGAGGGCCTCTAAGGTTTTCAGGAATGTGCTACAAAATGTCCCCTTTGCTTTCAATGTTTCATGTGACCACACACGTCTGGGTTTCCAGTCTTACTTTCCCTTTATTGTCTGTGAGAGGAACTCTCCAGAGACGAGGTTATGGGACAGAAAGAGAGTGTGGACTGTTAACAAGCGTGGCAGTGGTGTTACTTGCCGTAGAGTCCATTTTCAACTGACAGTGACCCTATATGACGGAGCAGAACTGCCCCGCAAGGTTTTCTAGACTGTAATCCTAACAGGAGCAGATTGTCACATCTTTCTCCCAAGGAGCCACTAGATGGGTTCCAACCACCAACCTCTGGGGGAGCCGTCGAGTGCTTAACGGTTGCGCCACGGGGACTCTTTAACAAGTGTGTACTTCATACAATTACCACAACGTGAACACTGCACAGCTGAGGGTGCCACAATCTCAGCCAAACTATGATGAGAGGAACTTTAAAATTTCATTCTAAGTCTGTTCTCTAATTATTTGGATTTTCTTTTCTTTTGGAAGGACAAATTTTTCTCCTTGTGACATGACTGCTAGAGTAAATCCTGTAAAGTGGCTGCCAACAAAATCACCGGATCCTTTAGTTAAAGAGAATCACTTTTCTGCCTTTAACTTTAAACCAAAACTCACTGACAATGAGTTGTTTCCAGCTCATAGCAACCCCCATAGAGTTTCTGAGGCTGTTAATGTTTACGGAAGTAGATGGCCCATTCTTCCTTCTGCCGAGTGCTTTGTGGGTTTGAACCACTGACCTTCTGGTTAGCAGTCAAGTCCCTTATCCACTACACCATAAAAGAAAATTTATTTAAAAAAAAATTTATTATGGCCAAAAAAGCCACATAACACCACATTTGTCATCTTAACCATTTTATGTGGACACTTCAGGGACAGTTGTTGCATTCCCTTTGTTGTGCAGCCATCACCAACATCCATTTCCAAAGGACAGAATCAGAACATTTTAAGGTACAGTTTCTCGAGTTCTGAGGCTCCAAGAAGTGAGCTGACTTTTACAAGACACCACGGCTAACAATTGCCTGACAGGGGACTCACACCATGTCTATTTCTGAGTCATCATTCCACAGTTTCAAACCAGCTCTGACATAAACTTGAAAAGAACTTGTCATGGTACCATCCTGAGGCCAGGAGACTTTCTGCTTGCCTCACCTGGGCTTTCAGAGCACAAAAACTTAGGATCAGAAAGGTCTTACCTAAGACACTCCACAGCTAAGGAGGGGTTAAATCATGTCCAGAAACTATGTGAAAACCCAGGGTCTTCAAGTTGACAGAGATGAGAAAACAGCTATAAGAGAAGGGATTTGCCAAGGCCACCCA